GGCTAGGGGGATTTCGGTACATTGAATGCTGCTCCATGTGAAATTGTCATAAACAGCTCGGTGACGTCTCATTTTCTTCAGAAATGTTTGTTCTACACGACAGCCTTATTTGCAAAGAATTTCTGGATTGAACTCTAGCACTTGGTTTTCTGAGATTTGACTTTTTCAGAGACCCTGATTTCAGGAGTTTTGATAGAGCCTTTGTATACACCACCTGAGATCGGAAGTTCTTTCAGCTACTGAAACCTTTTTTCAAATTTATTCTAGCTGTTATGATCATGCAATAATTGCAACTAGACGTATTTATACGTCACCGGGAGCCAAAGAGTTAAGTAAAAATAAAATTTAACTTATTTTAAGCACATAAAAATTATTAAATATCGTTTTTAGTTGTAAATAAGCTTGCATTGTTTGTTCTTCTAATTATTTTTTAGGAGAGATCTTGTTCTTATTTTTATTGGTCATTTTGAGTTCATGAGTCATATTTCCTTTAGATGCACTGTAAAAAAAGTCACATAAAATCCGTGGCAAAGTCCCAGTAAAAATGTATAACGGCCATTTTCCTTTGTTTCAGATAAAAGCATTTAGCCATAAAAAGTCATTAGCCATTATCAATAACTACAATTTTTACTTTCTTTTTTATCGTTATTGTTCTCTGTTCCTTATTTTATGAACTCCGTTGAAAAAATTAAAGAAAAAATGTTTTTTAAAAGTTCTTTTTATTGCTCTTGCTCCGAGAAAACTTTTAGCCGTGTTCCTAGTCATAATTAACCTGTATAGGAGTTTCTCTAACGTTATTTTATTTGTGTCTATCTTTTATTGTTACTTTTGTATCCTCATTGCATATTCTAGTGTCTTTTTCTTTTGTTTATTTCTATTATTATATTATTTTTTTTTTCTTTTTTGCTGTTTCCCTATCTTATTTTTTTATTCTGGTTTGAGTCATTGATATTACAGGTCATGGACCTTTGATGACTCTTGAGTGATTCGAATAAAATCAATAGGAGATTGAAGACTGGACTGAGCCGACGCCAAAATCGTCGAAGAGGTCTAAATTTTTATTTTTATGTTTTATTACTGTGAACTTTTACTTTTTTGTTCGTTTTCTATAAGCTTCCTTAACTTTTATAAATTGTACAGTAAAAGTAAAGTAAAAGTTATCTGGCCACAACGGTCAAATTTCTTCAAAATTTTGTACAACATAACACTATAAATTTGAAAAAGAAAAGTCCGTGATTTTTCCACCTACTAAAGTTCGTTCCGTCGTTGAGTAAGGTCCGTGAAGTATGCGGTCATGGGCTTTTCAACCCAAAAGTTGTTAGTCAGATTTGTAGTTTTTCATGCACTTTATCCATATTTTCACAGACAGCTTTCGGGTTGAAAAGCCCGTGATTGCATACTTCACGGACCTTACTCAATGATGGAACGACCCTTAGTAGATGGAAAAATCACGAACTTTTCTTTTTTCAAGTTCGCAGTGACATATAACGGGAAAAATATGACATTATCTTCACTCCACTGGTCTATTTTAACTAATGAAAAGTGATGTCACGAAAAATCTGTTTTTAGATGTCATCCGGATGTGATACTGCCACAGAAAAAACGTTAACAAAATAAATATAAAGTCACAGTTAAAACGTGACATTAGTTTTCATGATGCCACGTTTTCATTGTGATTTTTTATGTCTTTGCCGTTACTTTTTTTTACAGTGTGTTTGGATCAAAGTCATCTATATCCATAAAGCCTATTCATAAATTTATTACTGGGCAATAAAAGCATCCATAAAAGTTTTAATAAAAAAGAATTTAAAAGTTGCAATTTTTGATTTTAAAATTTAAATTTAAGCGATAAGGATCCAAAATGTTAAACCTTAATTTTTTACAGCTAAAATTTAAAAAACTGTTTTCAAATATGTATCCAAATGAGTTTGAAAAACTGAACAAAGCGGTTACTCAAAAAATTTTTTAAACTTGATTTAAATAGGGTATTAAACGAGATTTTACAATTTAAAAAAAAAAAACCGCCGATTTTAGCTTTCCAAACGTTTCGATATTAAACTCCTTGTTTAAAATTCAGAACTAAATTGATTCTTCAAAATCAATTCAAAAGTCCCCATTTTATATTCTAAAACTAGTGCCATTCATTCCAAAGAGCATAAAATGCTGTCTATATTTTATAAATGTCACACTGATAAATGTCACATAATTATACGAAAGACAAAAAAATGAAAACTTTCTAAATCCGGTATGTTTTTTGGCTTAAACTTTTCTTTCTGCTATAATTTCCGTAAAAAAGTGTAGGAAAAGTTAGAACGCAGTTAATTGTATACTTCTGAATGTGTTCTTTCTCGTGGTCTGTAAAAGAATTTTTAAAAGCAGATGATGTGCTGGAGAACGAAGTTACAAAAATACGTCAGAAATTGATAGCCCCATGTTTCCAACAATGTGCCCAAGCAAAAATCGAAGTTTTGATTTTGCAGTTAGATAGAGAAGAGCAATCATTTCTGATCAAAACAAAACAAACCCGATCGACAAATCTTTTGTTTGATGTAGTTATGGAACTTTTACTTAAAGCACAGCTTTACTCAGAATTTAAAAAATTATGAAAAATTGCATGGCAACAGATCGAAAACTCATTATTTCTCCATGAATTTTGATGTGAAAAATTCAAAGTGTAGCTAAAAGATAGAGCGAAGTCACGGCTACATAACGGCTGATTCAGATTTTCTTACTTTGAAAACGTTAACACAAGAAATTGGTTTTGAGTTTGGAAAGTTCAAGTTCAAACCAAATTAAAATTTGTCGCAGACTCATGGGCCACGAGAAAGAGCACAGTCAGAAGTACAAAATTAACTGCGTTCTAGCTTTTCCTACACTTTTTTACGGAAATTATAGCAGAAAGAAAAGTTTAAGCCAAAAAACATACCGGATTTAGAAAGTTTTCATTTTTTTCGTCTTTCGTATAATTTGTGTAGTTTTCTTGATTGAAGTTTTGAAATTAAAATTTAAGTATGGTTGTGTANATGGTTTTGTAGAGTATTTCGCGGCGCATCTTTTAAAAAAGGCACCAAGCTTAGGGTCCTAAAGAAGCACGAGAAAAATAGAAAATACTTGGAGGATCGTTTATTTTGCCGCACCCGTTAATCAAAAATGTGGACTTATTTTTATTATTTAATTAATCTGACAAAAAACGACAAGAAATAGCCACGCTAAATATGAATAATGAATTGTCGGTGAGTACTGTGTATAATAATGATATCGCTTTTTCTTGCATTCGTGCTATGCGTAAGATGAACGATTTTGTTTGCGGGCGAAACTTTTGTCGCGCACTGATTGTTTAAAATATTTTAATAATATTGTAATATGTTCATAGCCATTATATCTTTTCTTTTCATCTGTTTCACTGGCATTGTTGTATATTAAATTATTCATTTGACGTTCGTAGTAAGATTTTTGTAGATTCTTCAACGTCTCAAAATCCTGGTATTTTAATCGTACATTATAACTTGTTGGTAGTGTTTTGGTTAATGGTGCACTAATTGAATCACTAAATCTGGTAGTAATGATCATAGCCAACAATGAATAAGAATATTTAATATGTTTCTCATCATCCTCTAAAATAAACTGTTTATTGATTGTTTGATAATTATTGTCTCTTTGTCCATAAATGATAATTAGATTTTTAGGTAAATTTGTAAAATGTTGTTTGTTGATATACTCAATAAAAATAGAAATACTGTTTATATACTAATAGTTTGTGACATTTTAGAATTGAAATCTTTATTTTGTATTGCCCTGCCCTATTTACAGTTCTCAAATTAATAAGAAATAAAATTACTTCCTGTTCAAAAAGATACATTAATTAGTATGTTTAGTAGTCATTTTATTCTTATTAGTTTGAAAACTGTAACAGGAAATGTAAGAACAGAGTATGTTGTAGAAACCAAACTTCTGTATCTATTAACTTTCCTTATCCATCCACAGGGAACATTGTATCATTAGTATTATTTTCTTTCAAACTTACACAAAGTGAGAATCATGTGGTGTAGAAATTCATCTTCTTATGTAATCAGTTGTTTCTTATTCATTTGTTACTGCAGCTACTGTCAAGCACAGTACAATCAAGTTTCGTTTAGCTTGACTGATTACGGTCTGAGATTTATGCCACATGATCCTATTGAATTGTTAAATGTGATTACATCAACAAAATCACTAATTTATTGTACTACACTTTGTGTTAATAATCAGCAATGTAATGTATTTGATTACGATGAAACTACGAAAGAATGTCGCCTTTTCCAAGGTCTTGATAAAACTCTTAACTTATTTTCCAGCACATCAAAATGTGGTTATCTAACACAAACTTCAACTGACTATCAAGGCTACAACCAATCATGTACAAAATGTCAACAAAGTCGTTTTCTACAATGTAATAATAGTACGAACACATGTCAATGTACAAATAATAAGTATTGGTCAGCAAATCAAAGTTTATGTCTTGATCAAGGTTATAATGGATCTTTTTGTACAACGTCCATACAATGTAGAGATGATTTAAATTTAACGTGTTCAACGGCGTACAATATGTGTCTAATGACAATAGTAGAGCAAGAACAAACTACCTTTCCTCCTCATTTTGCTAGCACATTTACACACACAATAACAATGATTGCTGCTGCAACAATGTCTGGAACAAAAACAACCATGGCTGTAACTACATCTTCAGTAATAAAAACGATCGCTCCAGTCACATCGACCGTGAGAACTACGATGCCAGCTATCACTACGGTAATAGAAAGAGAATACTCGTTTTCTTAGGTATCTCAGTTAAGTCTAATGTGACTCTCTCTCTTATTCCAAGGCTATTTCTACCTTTATCAATGCTTCATCTAATGTTACCGCTTACTCAATGAGTGGTTGTACTGAAATTATTTACTTTACAAATTTTCTTGAACTATCTTCATTCAATTTGATTGTAATGATACAAAATTTGGCGAGTTTAGTTACAACATACAATATCACAACTACCTTAGATGGAGGCACAGCTCAACAGCAGTGTAGCGGAAATACAGTGCCGTATATTACGTGTAATGTCACACTTCTCAATGGATATACAATTTTACCGGCCATACCTCATGCTGGCGGACGTTATACAGTATCAATTAACATGGGATTCCTACTTAATGTACCTCATGTTACATTTACTGATTTTTACACAATTACAGCTCAAGCAACTAATTCATTAGTGCAATCACTTACTCAATTCTTCTGAGATTATCAGCACTGGTTCTGTTCTTTCGAAGAAAACTTTAGTAAGTTTGTTAAAGTCACTACCTATATGAATTTAGCTAGTTTGAAGTTTACATATCTCGTACATTCATATAAACTTGATGGCAAAGTAAATTTTGGAATATAAAAGTATTTTTGAATTATAAAAGATCGAAATTCAAGAACTATTAAAACAGTGTCGATCGTCCAGCCGATGCAACATTGCTGCTGATAGCAACACCTTTTGTTCTCACACGTCTCTTCCAGAATTGCTCTGCTGAAGTTAATATTTCGGTTCAATGGTTTTTCATAATACGTCTTTTATCAAAAATTAAAATGGGAATCGAGTATCTTAAACTCAAATTTTTTTGTCAAACTTCGTTCGTTAAGGAATGAAAGATTTTTTTGTAGTTATATCTCAAAGTCATAAATGCAGGCTATGATCTTAAAAAATAAAAAATAAAATTGGTCAATCGGTTTACGGAAACAGAGGCATTTTTGGTCATCAACGTCAAAATAAATATCGCATAATTCCTTCAATATTTGACCTCTCGGCTCAAAACTTTCAGAAAGAATACTTTTTAATCTCCTAATATGTTGTTTAGTTTTTATTTACAATTTTTAAAATATCGACCAATTTGGAATCGAGTTTTGAAGGTAAAATTTGACCTATATAGTGTATACCAACCATTTTCTAGGAATAGTTGGAGAATGTTATTATGAGTTTACACAAATAATTTAAACCTTAACGTCCGTATTATGAACGAGTTATAAAAAAATAATGAGCGAGGGGATCAAAAAAGGGATGAATATCCAGATCTGAATAACCATCGATTCGATAAAAAAAGTAACAAAACAAGATTTGGACTGCTTATGTCCCAGATATTTCCAAAATTCTTCTTATGCCATATACCAGAAATCTATTTTGAAAAATAATATTTCCGTCCAGAAGTGCTAATTTTGACGCAGCTTTTATTTGAACAATAATGAACTAAGAGCTCA